CACCCGGTATGTCTTGCCTGGGATCCCCTCTTCCCAGAACCCCCTTCCTGGGACCCTTCTCCCCAGCTGCCCCTGGACTCCAGGGAACTGCCCTCCCACCACTCGAGCTTCCCAGTGTCCTTCGTCCTATTTCCTTCTCAGGGAATCACTCAGCCTCTGTCTCCACGGGGTCAGCTTCCCTCCTTGTCTGAAGCCTAGGCCTGACCGAGCTGGGATGCACCCCCGCCCCAGCCCAGTCCCTGGCACCCAGCTCGTTCTGCCCCCAGCCGCTCACCACTTGTAGAGGGAGAACCCCCAGGACCCTGGGGACAAGTTGGGGGTGGGGGCTGACCATACAGGACCTCCTCTGTTCCTCTGGCCTCTCCTGGCCCCAAGCCCGGGCCCGAGTCTGACTACCCTCTCTGACCCAGGGAGTGAGGATGGGGGAGACGTCCACCAACATCGCCACCCTGAACATGGACGATGCCCTCAAGGTCAGGGTGAAGGAGGGCTGCGAGCTGCCCAGCCCCTGCGCCTCCAGCCCCTGCCCTGCCCATAGCCGCTGCCAAGACGCCTGGGACAGCTACTCCTGCGTCTGCGACAGAGGTGGGTGCCGCGGTATCCGCTTGTCAGACTAGAACTATAATGAAGGGTCTTGGGGGAGCATCTAGGTCAGCCGCACAACACAGTCCACAGAGACAATGCCCTACATGGCACCTCGGTGAGTGGAGGCTGGAGCCAGAAAACCTTATGGGCTACCATCTCAGAGAGAGCTCCTGGTCTCCCCCCACCAGAGCAGAGAAGGCGAGCAAATCAAAGGTGACAGGTGACAATGGGTCTGTCCGGAGGACTGATGGGCCAGGGCACCACAGCCTCCACCATCCAGAGATCAGAAGAACTGGGCGGTGCCCACTGCCACTACCCACCCCTCTGAAAGGGATTCCGGATGGAGTGGGAGGAAACTGTGGGACACAACGCAAAAGTGTAAACAAGATGAAGCTCATCGGCTGGATAGGGACCGAAGGAACTTGGAGTCTATGACCCTCCGTCTCCCTTCAGGACAGGGTCTGAGTCCCCACCCCCACCCTCCCCTGCAGATCTCACCCTTCTGCCCAACAATAGGTTCACCAGTGAACAGTGACACACACACACCCCCCACCCCCGGGAGTGTGCTTCTCATAATGATCAATGACTCCAGACCAGCGGGCGGGAAAGATGGATGAACGGAAGTGGAGCCCTGGTGGTGCCCTTCGGTTCTGTGTTGGGCTCTCTCGGAAAAGTCAGTAGTTTGAAGCCACCGGCCGAAAGAGAGGGCTCTCTCCTCCCGTGGAGAGTCACAGTCTCCGCCCGGGGCTATGGGGTCACCAGGAACCGGCACCGATTCGACGGCAGCGAGGTGAGGTTGAGAAGGGAGGACGTGGGCACAGAGCCGTCACCCCCGGGGGTCTGGAACCCACATCAAGAACAAGGTGTGCACAGGTGATTGAATGGAATCCAGTGTGCCCCACGAACGTGCACCCAACCATCGTCAGCGGGAAGAAAAAGACAGGCGCCGGGTTGCATCTGGGCATCGGCTCTCTGGGTGTCCGGGGCCTGAGACGGCGGTTTCGCTGCAGAGTAAATGACAGGCATAGGGGCAGGTGGAGGTGAGCTGCTAAAGGAGCATACTGTTCACAGCGAGGTTCGTGTTGTTAGGGCCATCGAGCCGGCCCCGCCCCATAGCAACCCCATGCACGTAAGGACACACCACCCGGTCCTGACCTCTCTCCCGCTGCCCTGCCACTCTACCGAGCAGGACGTCCTTGTCCAGGGACTGATCTCTCCTGACAACGGTCCAAGTACGTGAGATGAGGTCTCCCCCTCCTTGCTTCTAAGGAGCACGCTGGCTTTTCCCTCCGGCTGTCTGTTTTCCCAGTGTTCTTCTCCAGCATCGTAATACAGGTGCACGGTTCCTCTTCGGTCTTCGTACTCCGTGTGTCGGACTTCGACACGCACACGAGGCCGTTGCAAACACCATGGTGGGGTCAGGTGCACGTCAGTCCTCCGAGTCGTATCTCTGCTTTCCAACCCTGCAAGGAGGCTGGTGCAGCAGACTCACCCAGCGCGCTGTGCCCTCTGACCCCCTGACTGTTGCCCCACGAGGACGGACTGCGGATCCCAGCAAGAGGAAATCCGTGACAGCTTCCGTCGCTCCTCCCTTGGCTGTGACATCACAGTCTCCCCTTTCCGAGCCGCACAGTGATCCAGCGGTGGGCGGGCTTCCGAGGAGCGTTTACAGAGCGCCTCGGGGCAGTGGTCCTGGGGATTCCACGGGTCTCAGGGAAATACTGCCCCACTTCTTCCCTTCATTCTATCTGGGTCTCTGCCGCCCAGATCAGAACAGCCGGGCAACCTTCTAGGTCTTCGTCTCAGGAGAAGAGGGGTGTGGCTCAGTTCTTAGGGTCTCAGAGGAGACGAGGGGTGTGGCTCAGGGAGACAGTGAGTCCTGGAGATTGGGGTCTTCTCTGAGGCTGGGGTTTTCTCCTTTCTCTCTGGCTCCCCACGAGGAGGGTCTTCGATGTCCGCCCACAAGCGTTGAAGACCGGGGAGGGGACTCACCAGGCCTAGGATGTAGACCATGAACTAGGGAAACCCTAAGCTATTGCCCTCTGACCGAGTTGTCCCACGAGACTATGACCCCCAGTCTTCACTCTGAAAACTAATCACCCGAGGTGCCTGACACCTGGTGAGGTGGAGGCTTGAAAAGTACACGTGGTGCCCTGAACCTCTGAGGTGCTGAGAACTTTGTCAGCAGACCCATCAATCGTCCCTCGTTTCTCCCCTGGCTCTCTTCCTGCCTGGGGTGGCCCTAGCAGATAGGCCCTAAATCCAGGATGATGGGTCCCCATCTCCCCCGGCACCCCCACCTTCCCAGAATGGCAACAACAGATGATTCCTGAATCCAGAGGGTGGCAGGTCCCTCCCCGTCCCTCGTCCCTCAGCCCCCAGCCTCCCCAGGTGGCCTTGAGGGCCTTAGTACTTACGGCCCAGGTGCAACCGCTGGCTCCCGGTACTGTCATGGCCTCGGGCAGCCTGCTCCTTTCCTCTGCCAATCTATGGACTGTCCTACCGTGGCTCAGACCTCGCAATGCCAAGCTGCCTGGCTCTTGTCTCCTCAGGATACTTCGGGCGGAGGTGTGTGGACGTGTGTCACCTGAACCCCTGCGAGCATGTGTCAGCCTGTGTGCACACGCCCAGCTCCCCCCGGGGCTATGCGTGTGAGTGCGGGCCGGGCCACTACGGACCGTACTGTGAGAACAGGTGAGCCTCAGCTCCAGCACCTTCCTATGGGGACCTGGCTAGCCCCGCTACTCCTAGAGGGGTGTGCACTGCCGGCCTTCACGCCACCCTGAGCAACAAGGCCGGGTTTTATGCACTGCTACACTCGGCAGATCAGACAGCGTCCAGGTGGGCATGACACCCACGCTGTTTGCCACAGGAAGGGGATCAGAAAGGAAGACTCGGTTGGTGGGGTGGACTGGAGCCCAGGGGTCAGTAGCCCGCCACCTGAGCAGCCCCTCCCCCAGAGAACAGGTGTGGCTGTTGCAAGAGGGCCAGGCTCCCAGGTGGGTCCTCCTGGCTCTTCACGAGCCCGGACCAGAGCCCCTCTGAGGGGACACTGTGGACCACGTGTCAGCATGACCAGGCCAGAGACAATGGCCAGAGACAATGGGGAGGTTGCTCAGGGAGCCAGGCTCCAGCGTGTTGGCGAGCAGGTGGGTGCTGGACACAGCTGCTCACCTGTGCTGCCCAGGTGTTGCCGGCATGGCAGGGAGCTGGCTTGTCCTGTGTGTCTCTCTGAGTTAGACAATGAGAGAAGCACAGGGCTTCACAACCTCCATTGTTTCATAGGGAGCCTATGGCCGGGGTCCTGGAGGGTGGGCGGGCACTAGCTGCCAGCTAGGGGTGCCAGGGGAGGTTCTCGGGCAGGGCCTGGGGGGAGGGGGGAGGCTTGAAGAGGGGCGTCAGCTGACTCCCAGCCGGCTCCTCCTGACAGAGCCGACCTGCCTTGCCCCCGAGGCTGGTGGGGCAGCCCCGTCTGCGGCCCCTGCGACTGCGCCGTCAGCAAGGGCTTTGACTCCAACTGCAACAAGACCAGCGGGCAGTGCCGGTGCAAGGTGAGCGCCCGCCTCGGAGCCCGCTCGGGTCTGTGCACGCGCACGCACACGTGTGCACACACGCACCCCCTTGCTTCTGTGCATGCGCAAGCCACAGACT